CTCTGTCTGATCTACAAGGCTGTAGCCTCCACAAGGAGAAGGGACTATGTACGTCTTTTTGCCACTAATATAATACCCATTTTCACATAATGCCTAGCATTTAGTAGTCTCTCCACCATCATTTTATGAAAAAAATGAATAACAAAATGAATCAGAGGACAGAAAATTAATTAGATTGAGGCGATCCCTCAATAAATAAAGGGAATTCATGTGATCCAGAGACCTGATGCTGGGAGAGGAAAAGGTTGGCTTCAAGAACATAACTCAGATTCTAGAACAGAAAAAAACCATGGCCACCATGAGAACATGCTGAATGAAGAAAATGGTAATGTGGAGAGCCAGGCCCTCATTTGTTGTGCTACTAGTAATACCCTTTGTTTCAAAAGAAAATGGGAAGGGCTAAAGGTGTAGGGGAAGTGGGAAGGGTAGGGGAAAGGTAATGAGAAAAGAAAAGAAAAATAGCATGAGAAAATGGAAATAGTCTTTCTAAATAGGGAAGGGAGGAGGGGGTAAAGGGAGGACAGGATAAGGGGAAAAAATGATAACCAAGACCTGTCATGTAAAGGTACAAGATCCCAATGATGAATGTAACTGCACTGTACACCTAAAATGTACCAATAACCTCAATGAGGAAAAAAAAAAAAAGAAAATGGAGAAAGAAGCTTCATCTAATGTCCGAGTCTTACTTGCTGAACTGAGCACCTTTGCTCTCGGCCCCTAGGATTTCTACTATGCAGGGGGAAAGGCAAAAAATGCCTGTCAGACTTTCCTCGAACCTGAGAGTGCTGCAAAGTACAGGAAGAGTACTCACTGGGGTGTCATAGCTGCTGACAGAACACCCTAAAACCGTAAGAGTGGAGGTAATCGGCCACACGGACTGCACAACTCTAATGATACCATGCCAAAGCCATGTTGTCTGTGGTACTGCCTACTGGCATGAGAGGTTTGGTGGCTTCGTGTGAAATTACGCATGACCTCCAGTTCCATGGAAGGACAAGGGGTGGGGATGCTGCTGACTGAATGCGTGTGTAGTTGGTGATGACCGATGTCTTAGAGATGAGTCTATGGGGTGATGTGCCGAACATCTGTGTGAGTATAGTTTTGGTGCTGAAGCTCAACCAATTGGAAATAGTTCTGATTTCTCCGCTAAGCACAGAACAGTCTGATAGAATCTCTAGGCGAAGACCCTTTGCAGAGGTGCAAAATATTTCTGGAAGTTTGATGTTATAATGGTTGTGTTCAAAGGAACGTATTTGACCAAATGCGCTTGGGCTTGAAGTTACATTGTGGTCAGTATTCTACTTTGGTTCTTTGCATCTTACAACTTAATGTTCACTATTAGATGCAGAGGAACTAAAACTCCATTATTTGAAGAGAACAAAGAGTTAAAAAGTTCATGGATTATAGGTGTTGTTGGCTATGGGTGTTGAACCTACAATCGCTCTGGAAACACCACATTTTCTTTTTTGTTGGACATTTTTTTTTTTTTTGTAAGTTTCATGGAGCTGGTGGCAGCTACCAAAGTAATTTTTAAGGGCAGATAATGGGAATTGCTGGAGAAAAGCTGGGTGGCCTTTTCCAAAAAGAATACACTTTTGTAGACCTTGGACTTTTTTTCAGTTTTTATTGTAACCTATGTGAGATCTGTTGGTACGGATGCCCTGTTAGCTAAACCATTCAGCTTCTTATGATGGAGCGAGTGTTTTGTAAGCAGTTCTTTGACATCCTGAAGCTTGGCACTGTGCGATACTCTTGGTGGAAGGCAGTCCAAAAAAAACACAGTGGCTTGGATCCTCCAAAGATTGACTTCAGTACAGGTCACCTGATACTGCCTAACCTCCACCAGCTTGCTCTCCTTGCTCCTCCCTCTACCCACATAGAAACTGCAAGAGTTTGGTGCCTTTCAAGGAAGACATATGGCATGTAAGAACAGCAAACTTCAAAACAAGTGCAAAACCGTACACATATTGAGGCGGAGTTCAGAGGGAAACTGGGGCTCCAGAAATGAGTTGGCAGAGACACCTCAGAAATCCTGCCAGACTCTTCGCCACTTGGCAATGCATTTCAAATAAGATGCTCAGGCTTAAGTCTCAATAGGGTCTGTTTCTTGCACCCTACATGTATGACCAGGGTGAGGTGTGGCCCTGTAGACAGTGAAACAGGAGGCCCAATACCTGCTTTGTGACTCATATCACAGGTGCTGAGATCAAAGGCAGGTGCATCCAGCCAGGCTGCCATCTGCACAGGAAGGGGGCTCATGGCACAGGTAGTGGGCTCATGCACTACTGGAACAGACCCTTCTGACAAAAGCATCCTTGTTGTAATCAGTCTGCAGCTGCAGCCTACTGTCACATGGTAGTAAGGGACCTGAGAGAGAAAACCAGAACTTGTAATAAAACTCCAACTCAACACAGAGAACAGAGATTGGAGAAGTTTGGCCCATCTCTCAGACAGAAACTTTCCTGAAAGAGTCAAGCTTTGCCAGATAAAACCATCACATTCAGAGAAGTAGTTTCCTAACACTGTCAATTCCACACCCTACCTTGTCTCTGCTGGAAACTTTAAATGCCTCTTCTCAGTCCCCCCATTTCAGGAGAAAGGGCCTGAGTTTCAGAATCAGATCTTATGGTGGCATCTGATAGTCAGCAGAAGATACTTCAGGACTACTCAGAATCCTATTTTGTTCCATGCCAGTGTACATGGCTTGGTAGATGCTTAACCAATTGCAATTATACCACAGTAAGAGCCAAGCACTACTGTGATTTTCAGAAAATTGAAAGAAAAGGGATAGCAGCCCCTTACAAATATTTATTGCAATTTTCCTCCTCCACTGATATATTTTCTGTTTCTTCTGGCCTTTCTCTTCTCCAGAGAATAAAACTGGATTACTAAATTATGATGGCCATGAGTATTAGACGTTTCCATTTAGTCCCAGGAGGTAAACAAAACTTGAGCCAAGGAGGCTGGCACTTCCATGAAGTGGGCATCTCTATGGGGACACTACACTTATTACCCACAGCCCAGAGAAATAGTTATTTTTATAAAGTCTTAGGTTCTGCCCAGAATTATAGGCTACCTGTCCTTTCCTACTTATAGTTCATATTTCAAAGTTGGACAGGTCAGACAAATGTGCATCAGTGGTCCTGGTAAATAAGAAGACGTAAGAGAGGGCAGGGACAAGGGGAAAAAAATGAGAACCAAGACCTGTCATGTAAAGGTACAAGACCCCAATAATGAATGTAACTGTACTGTACTGTATACCTAACATGTACCAATAAACTCAATTTAAAAAAAATAATAACAAATAAAAACAAGAAAAATATGTGAGAGAGGTACAGCACTAAGAAAGTGGAAAGCTCAGAGAAAAGAACTGTGGTAGTCAGCTTTCTCACACTATAACAAAATACCTGAGATAGTCAACTTATGAAGAGAAAGTGGTTTACTTTGGCTTGTGAAGGAGGTGGATCCACTGGCTTTGGGCTTGGATGAGGCAGCCGTCCATGGTGCTGATGTGCAGGAGAGTAAAGTTGGTTACATCACATGCTAGGGAGCAAAGAGGAAGGAGGGCTGGGCTCACAGTCCCCTTCAAGAGGAAGCTGCCATGACCTAAGGCTTCCCACAAGGCCCTGCCTTCAAAATGTCACACCTGGGACCAAGGCTTTAACACTAGGTAACAGGGTGATATTCAAGATGATAAATTCAAAAATGAATTTGAACATCAATGGTTCCTGGTTAACTCAACCAGAAATAATGAAGAAGCTATAATTTTACTTAACTACTTACCAGTTTACCCCAAGCAACACTGGGGCGGTGTCTTTGTTTACATACTGACCCTCCCGAGTGTTGCTCTGGATGGTGTCACTTCAACTAGTCGATTCTTGTTTGCATGAGATACACTCATACGTCTGTTTTACATCAACTATTTTTGTGTAGTTTATGTGGAACACCATATTCTCCTTTCATGTTGTTTCTAGTGAGATCTAGTCCATGTTTATTTGTGAAACATAAGCTATAATTTTGTGGTACAATCTATAAAAACTCATCATAAGTGCATTAGGTGTAAGCGTTAGACTTCTCTAGAATTCAGTGGCATTCTTTCTCAATACAAAGTGGGCATATTTGGGACACTGGGACTGAATAGGAAGGAAGTGCCGGAGATCTACAAAAGAAAAAACTGAAAAGAGAAGAAATACTAGCGTATCACAAAGGAAATGTCTGTGTTGTGAAATGGAAAGACGAAAAAAAGTCTCCTTATTGTCAGCTATTCATAACACAGAAGTGATAGAACATGAATGAAAAAATGAAACTAGAAAAATTCCAATAATGGTCAATGATTATAATAATTCTATAAATGGTGTGGGCAGAATTGACCAACATCTAACAAGATGTCCTATAATCAAAAAGTAAGGAAAATATTATTATAAAATATTTATGTACCTTCTGGACCAAATAATATGGAACTTATTTATTATGTATTCATAACAGAGGGGTTCAAAAAAGTCACTTACAATTGAGATTAGGTCTACTAGAACAGATAACTGAAAAATACAGAATAGCGAAACACCAACCAGGACATCCATCAATGACATCTCCTCCATTACATTTAATGGTAGACATTTTATTGAAATTATACCACCACCCACAGAAAAAAAGAAAAGCTCAACTCAACAGTATAAAGTGTGCCATTCAAAGGTAGACAATAATACAAAAAGAATTTGGAAAGAGACTGGATACTTCTGTCCAGATTGTAACATTGCATTGCGTATTGAATGTTTTAAGATATACCATACACTGAAAAAGTATTTAATAAACTTGATAAAATTGTCATTTTTATACCTCCTGTTATATTAGCTAATAAAAATTAATGAAAAACATGTAATTTTTGGTCATCCTCTCTTTAAATAACTAGATTAGTGGGTGGTCAATCCCTATGCTGTCTAACTATTATTTGAGATTTCTAACAGGCTTATTTCAAGGCAAAAGAGCTTTAAAGTACTCACCAAAGTCAAAGGCTAAGGCTGCCAGCCTCAGAATCTTCTGGAAGCTCTATTGAAATGCAGATTCCAGGGCTCCGTCCCAGGTCTACTTCATCCAAATTACAAGCATGGATTAAGAGGAAAGCAAGTTTGGAAAAACTTCTTCATGCAGTTCCTATGCCCAGTGAAATCTGAGAACTTCTGACAACACCTCCCCCAGAAAAGGGCAGACCCAGAGAGCTGTCACTTTCTTGCTCTGAAAAGAATTAAATCAGCAGGGAAGTAAATCACAAAAGAACACGGTAGGTCTGTAGAGCTCTTTAGAACTCCCAGTAATCAGACCCATAAGGAGAAAGCTGTGAGAGGAAAGATTTCTGCTCATTGATCCCAGCTAATTGAGTGAGACTGATTATCACATGAGCTTCCACGAATAACGCTAAGATTTTAGAGCTCCGCGTTACATTCTGGTCTCCAACTCAGGCAGCCCTTGTGATGTTAGTGTCATTTTCCGTTTAGAGGTCCTGCCTGCAGGGGGAGGCTTCCAAATAAAATACATGATTTACAGAATGCTAAAGAAATGCTAATACCAAAATACGTGTTCCTGGTACGTGGGTAAGTGGTTTCGGTGAAATTTCCAGTTGAAACAAGCCTCCTGATACATTTTTATGCTAACAACTTCTGAGGCTTACCCAAAAACATTGTTTTAAGGAGAGTTTTTTTTTTTTTTTCGTATTTGAGCACAATATGGATCCTAACAAAAACCAGAAGCGAGAAAAGACAAATCATAATGTGATAATTTGGGGTTATACACTCTCTTTGGTTAAAAGGCGCTTAAGTTCTGTGCCAGGAAATTCACCAGCTGCTCTTCCCTAACTGACGGAGAGGACTATATTCGGGTTCGCGAGAATCTGACCCAGGAGGGAAGCCTGGGGAACAGTACCGCCAACCCAGTGCTAGTTAACACTGCTTCCTCTCGTCTTAGTCCCTTCTGCAGTTTTTGAGAGACCGAGGAAACTGAGAGAGCAGAAAAGCTCGTGTTCGCACAGTGGTGGAGGCTGAAAGAGGCGCAGGTGCACCTAGAGGGAGAGACCTTCCGCAGCCTGCTCTGGAGGGGAGGAAGGCTGTGGCCTCCTTGGCAGACAGCAGGAGGAGAAAAGAGAGGCCCCCTGCGCACTCCCTCTCTGTAGGCACCTTAACCACGTTCACAGGGGAGGAGCCTTCTTGGTCCAACCACTTCTCAAAGGCCCTGTCTGTCAATGCTATCTGATTAACTGGTAAATTTCAGCGCCCGAGTTTAGGAAGAGCCACAAACTAGAGCACATCATTGCCCAGCAGAAACACCTGGAATATCCGTTCGCTGGTTCTGCTAATTAAGGCAATGCCTACCTCCCACTCCCAGATTCTGGGTCTGGGCTGAGGTCCAGGTTACAAGGTGCAGCAAAGCACCCACAAGCAATGAACTTGGTTTTCCATAAGACATCAGGAGAGAAGAAATTCTCCCCAATATAAGTGCCTTAGTAATCCCAATGTTTCCAAATCAAGATAGGATTTTCTTCCTCCTATTATGTTATAGAGAAAAGATCATTATTCTCTACACAGTTATATGACCTAAATCCAAGCCCATTTCTCCACATATCTACTATGATAACTTTATGACCCAAACTTTGGATGCTGGAGGGTAAAGGAGCATTCTTTCAGGCGCAAGTTACACCAGGTCTCATGCACAGCTTCGATGATGCGGTGAGTTATGTTGTCTCTGCTCAGGGCCCCATGAGCACAGCCTGACAGCAGGGTGTTGTGAATGCTCTGGGCCCTGTCACCGCCCCACCTTACACCCAGCTGCCTCTCATCTCAGGGGCTTTGCTCAAAGTCTTCTTCATCCATTGTCCTCCTCTGCCTTCCTCTGCCCCCCAAGATGCTGCTATCTGCTCACTTTAAGGCTCTGCTCAGCAGCTCCCTCTCATACACAGCTCCCGATATTCACAGGGATTCAACAGCAAAGCGAACAAAACATGCTCCAGGGCACTTGCGCACTCCCTTCCAAAGACCTCGCAGTGTTTTCACATGGTCACGTTTCTAAAATAATTTTGCATTTGTGTGTGTGGTTCTGGGAATTGAACCCAGGGGCCCTCACCCTGACCTATATCCTCAGCTGGTTTTTATTTTTTATTTTGAGACAGGGTCTTGCTAAGTTGCTAAGCTGCCTAGGCTGGGCTAGAACTTGTGATCCTCCTGCCTCAGCTTCCCAGAGTGCTGGGATTATAGGCACACATCACTACATTCAGTTTAAAATAAAATTTGTATAAGATATTTTAAACATGGTTGCTTTAAACTTTTCACTTTAACTCTCCATCACACTTCTAGCCTTGGATAGCGTTACAGTAGCCATGAGCATTTGGGGGAATTAACGTAGACACCTGTTGAATTTGAAACACATTTGGTGTGGGTTTGAATGGAATCATTGGCAATGTGATTGCCAATAACAGAACTGTAGGTGACTCCGGGTCTCTGGCCCCACGCTGGGCTCCACCTGAGGTGCACTCACCAAGCAAGCCTTGCTCCAGGACCCAAAGCCGCTGCTTTGTTCCTCCCTGACCCAGAAGCAAATGAGGGTGAGTAACAAAGAGATCCATAGTCAGCTCAACAAGCAGGCAGCCATGGGGCCCCTATCTCTAGCAGGCAGAGGAGCCTTTGGTTCACCTGGTTTTTACTCACCCAGACTCGGGCCAAGCAATCAGAGTAACACAGGATTTATCCAGTTTCCAATAGCCATTAGTACATTCTCTGGTAAACAACTTAACCTCAGTTGTCTTAACTTTTCCTCACCCTTGAGTGCAGCCTTTCTCCTTTGTGCTCACAGAGAGGCCAATTAGGCCTTAATTCTCCTCAACATCAGAATGGCATATCCGCTAGGTTTCAACCACAGATATAAAACAGATACACTGATGGTCACAGACACACACATGTGTACAGATAGGGACGTGTTACAAGGCATTGGCTTATGCAGTTGTGTCAGACTGGCCAATGTGAAGTTCAAAGATAGACTATCCAAAGGTAAGACTAGGGATCAGCTAGAACTTTATAAGGCAAAACTCTGCTCCACAGGCAGGGCTCTCTCTCCCTTCCTTCCTCTTCCCAGGAAAAGTCTAAGCCCATTTTTAAGGCTAGTCATCTGACTGAATTAACTTCTCTTCTAACTTATTAAGTCAGGCCCATTCCAGATTACTTCTCTAACATAAAATCAGCTGATCAGGGCTTTCCCTCTGCAGTACGCCTCCAGCACACTTGGATTTATGTTTGGACAAATAGCAGCACCATAGATTGGCCTAGAGAAATGGGCACATCAAAAAGCCACCTTACAAAGGGCTCCTGGAGATATGCCTGTCATCCCCACCCCCGACAAAATCATGAATTATGCATGGAAAGGTGGAGCGCAAGGTTTATAGAACAGTTTTAACCTATCCTTCTGTACCCAGGACCAAAGCAAGTGGGAATTAGTGAAGAGACAAAGTTAGAAAGGTGTGTGGAATCTAAAGCTACTTTGGAGAAACTCACCAAAATATAAAATAAATAAACAAAATGTGAGTAGAAATTTCAGTCATCAATTCCTAGTTGAAATAAAAGAGTAACAACAGAGACGATTATAAAACGTTACAAGATTTTCTATTCTACTCCAATGAGAATGTAACACTGGCACTTTACCAAATAACCATTGAAACTGTGAGTTGGAAAAACCTTCTTGGAACATCTCAATCAAAACAAATCAGAAATTCTTCTATAGTGACTGGTGGACTGCAGTTTTAGATGGATAGAAAGTATACCCGTTCTATCATTTTTTAAATTTACTAAAAACTTAGGAGAAAAATGTCAATACGATTAATGGGAATAGGAAATAAAGCAAAAGGATTAGCCATAAAAATAAGAGAGGTGATTCTGAATTCAGGAAGAAAGTAGTAATGAGAGAATTTTCAGACCATACAAAAGGTTGCAATTTATGATTTAAAAAAAAAAAAAAGTTCACACACATGAAGATACTCTTAGGTTATATGACAATTTAGTTCATAAAGGTAAACAAATCTTATTAACACATTGGGAAAAGATCTAAGTAAAAATCTCATCAAAAACCTATGTTGCCCTGGTGTGGATAGGGTGCCCCCCACAAAGGCTCACACGCTGGGGCCTCGCTCCCCAGTGTCATGGCACAAGATGAGGTGGGAGGTGACTGGATCATGGGGCCCTGGCCCTCCTCAGTGGGATCCTATCTTCCCGCAGAGACTGGTTAGTTCGCTGGAGTGGACCAAAGCTCTCTGGAGTCCGTTAGGTCCTGTAGGACTTGATCAGTCACCACGGAAATGGGTCTGCATCTCCTCTCTAAAGTAGGCTTCTCCTCTGCATGCACCTTCACTGCCTTCTGCTTCTCCACCAGGAATGGAAACCACACCAGGATCTCACTAGACTCCAAGCAGATGCCAATGCCAGGTCTGAACATCCCTACCTCCAGAACTCTGAGCCAAATTAAACCTCTTTCCTTCATAAATTACCCAGCCCCAGGGATTTTGCTACAGCAATGGGACATACTAAGAAATGTACCACTATAAAAAAATCAAGACCAGATTAACATCAAATCCAAAGCTAGTTAGGATTATTCATTTATACACACACACGCTCAAAAACCAGTGACCTAAAATATTGCTTGTAAATAAAAATACCTGATATTTTAACTATATTTGAAAATAATCCTAAACTGTTACTCATTATTAGACTTTTGTATGCTACCAAATATTTTTAAAATGTCTAACTGGATAAACACAGAATTATCTTTCTATTCCCTCTACCAAAAAAGAAAGTATTACCACATAAAGGGATATGATGGTTAATTTTATGTATCAACTTGGTTGTCTCATTGTGCACAGATATTTGATCAAATATTATTCTAGATGTTTCTGTGAAGCTATTTTGGATAAGATTAATATTTTGATTGGTGAATTTTCAGTAAGACAGATTTCTCTCTGCAATATGCTTGGGCTTAATCCAACTCATTGAAGACCTCAATAGAATAAAGACTGACCTTCCTCAAGTTCAGGTACAACACCAGCAATCTCTATCTGCATTGGAAGTCTTCCTTAGTAACCATCTTGCCAGCCTGGCCTATGGATTTTGGAATCACCAAGCCTCCAAAATCATG